AGCAGGATGAAGCCTTCCTCATCACCCATCACTGTGTGTCCAAAGAGCAGACCAGAAACCCCACAAATTGGGATGCTGCTCCCAGGGGAAAAACTAGCAGTGTCAGTGGAAAAACATTCCCAAGCAGGCCATCCACCTGTCTTGCAGAGCCTTCACCCTCAGGCAAACCTGTGGCATTAACTGTTACCAAAAGCAGCTGAGGTGCTCAGCCTACCACCTCCAGCCCCTGAGGTCCTGCTGCCTGTCCCTCACTGCCTGCCTGGCATGGCTTTGGGTGCCACCAACCTCTGGGAATCCTGCCTGCACTGCACCTCCTCCTCCTCCTCCGCAGCGCAGCATGCTCCCAAAACCCGAGCCAACACCCCGTGACACTCTTTTTGCCAGGAAAAAAACCTCCACCACCGGCCTCCCTAGGTGCTGCGAGCAAACTGCTGAGGTCCCATCAATTATCTACGCCTGATCCCGTACAACACCGTGGAGTGCTCAGTGGTGACTGTTTCTCATCCACCTCTGCCTAGTTTCGTTCCCTCCTCTCCACCCTTTCACCAGCAGGCAGGGAGGATGGTGGGGTTTCAAGGCTCATCCAGCTTTGGAATGTGCAGCAGAGCAGGGCGAGGACCAGGAGTGCCCAAGGGACAGCCCAGTGAGGCAGGGCTGGGCGTGGGGCTGGGAGGGATGAAGTGGCAGTGGGGCTGTGGTGGCAATTCCCTATGGAGAGGTAGCATGAGAGACAGGGAGCACGAGGGGGGGCTGCCTGCTAGCAAAGGAGTGAGATGTGACTGAGGTATGTTGGTGGCTCCTCAGAAAGATGCCGAGCATGAGGCCATGTACTGCTTTGGGGCTGCTCGGTGTGGCGGCTGTTGATTTTTTTGCTTTTCCTCCTTAAAATCCTTCTACCTGGCGACACATCCTTCAGTGGGAAAGGGTGAGGGGAGTGGTGTTGTGGCGGTGGGGGAGAGGGGGAGAGCGGCTTCTACCCAGAAAAGAAAGGGAAGAGAGTATAAAGAAGTGTCCAGATTGGCTGAAAAAAGCATCCCGACGAAGAGAAGAGAAGAGAAGGAGTCTTCTTGTGTGTGCTGATTGGGTTCACCTCCAGTCTGACTGCTGCGGTGTTAGGAGAGGCCCCCTCCCCTCCTGCCCCCGCCGGGGCCGGCTCAGCCAGGGATGCAATTTGCTGGGAGATCAGTTGGAGGTATCAGAGTGAACACTGCCAGGGCCTTCTGTGGGGGAGGTCACCGACGACGGGGTAGTAGCGTCTTGCCAACCTCCATTAGCCTGTGAATGGGAGACATGGAGACATCAGTCACCCAACAGCACAGCCAGCCCTCCCCCAGCCTCCCACCCACCTTGGAACCCCTTGCTTCTCCCTCAGCAGGGCTGATGTAGGAGACAAAGATGTCCCCTCTGGCTCCCCCAACCCAGCCCAAAACACAGGGCTCCATCAGTGGGACAGGGCCAGGAATAATTCTATTAAAAACCGGTTTTGACAAATTGCAAGGGCTCATTGGAAATTCTTCACTTAAAAAATACATATTTCTGCAGAAACCTAGAGCTCGGGTTGCCTGTTTTGTTTTGTTTTAACCCCATATGGAAGGAGGAAAATAGCAAACACCTCACTCCAGAAACCCCATCCTGGGACACTGTGTGCTATGAACCAAGGGACTGCTGAACTGTGCCATGACCCCCAGCATCACTCCATGTACCTTTCCAGGCCCTCTCCTGCTGCACAGTCCCACTGTGGCGGGAAATCACCAGCACCAAGCCTTGTTGCAGAGAACACACATTGTCTACAAACCCCTCCTGCCACCATGAAGGCTTTATGAGGGGATCTGGGCCATCTCTCTGCTCCCAGCACAAAAGCCTCTCCCTCCTTTACTTTGCAGTAAAACCACAAACAAGTTTCTGCTGCCCTGGGGCTGGTCCTGCACACTCCTGTCACAGTGCAAAGGGCGGTGCCAGCACCGTATCCCATCTGAGGGTTCATACAGCAAAACAAAGAGGGAACTAAAAACAGCTACAGAGCCAAATTCTCCAGCCACTTGAGAGCAGAGCTGCTGGAGGGGCCTGACTGGCACAGACAGGAGCCGGCAGCTCACAGAAGCTGCTCCTCTATGGCTGCCATCCCCTTCTGAGAGGAGCAGATGTCGCACCCAACCTCCTCTGCTTGTTCTGACATTGATTCAGTGCTCAGCTAATTTATCCTTCCTAACTCCTGCACGAACTGGATTCAGTAGCAGCCGCAGCTCCACTTTACATGTGTCCAGGCTGCTTTGCTCTCCCTGGCTGCCTGTCCCACTGCTTCCACTGCAGGGCAGTCATCACTGGCTCCGACTGCCTGGACTCTGCAGACCCCCAAAGTGGGGTAAGGGCAGGAAAAGCCTCATCGTGGCTGTTTGGGACTTGGCAGCAGCTTGGCCACGTTGCCAACCAGATCCTGCCTACCCGAGAGGCAGCTGACATGGGAGCAAGGAGCTGACCACGGGCGAGCCGTGGGAACCCTTATTTTGGGGGCTGAGACCACCTCACAGTGGAACATGCACAAAAAGACAGAGGTGTGCAAACATGACAGGCTTGTGTCTTCTTCCACGGGAGTGTGTGAACATGCTCCTTTGCAAAGATGGGGTCAAGCAACAGGAAGGAAAACAGGAATCACAACCTGAGCTTGCTAGCAGGTTAGCAAAGCCCAAGCAAAGCTTGGGTACAAGCATGGAACCAGACTCTGCACAAAGACTCCCACCTGGAGAGATCTCACCATAGCCAGCACCCCCACCAGCTTCCATCCACAGCCAGGGCCCGACCCACCGTCCCTGCATCCCCCCAAGATGCAATATCCACCCTTATACGTCTTGGAGGGCTGCAAGAGGTGGCAATTACTGTAGATTATCAGCCCAACAATGACAGGCCACGTAAAGAGAGACACAGAGCCAGCTCCACCACCCCGAGACTGGCATATTCAAGTACACTTAGGACATTAATAGCAATTTACGTGCCATCAGTGAGAGAGAAGCACAATAGCTGTGCTGGCAGCCTCTTATTACCAAGCCTGTTATTTGTTGGAGTTACAAGCTATAATCACAACAGAAACTTTCAAAACCCTTATCTTCCGTGACGCACCAAATCTATTTCAGAGCCGTAATTGCTATGTCACCAGAGAGTTTGCTGCTTAATGCACTCAGATGCCATTTAGTGTTTGCAGGGTCATTACGGCGAGCAGGAGGGGGGGGAAGGGCAGAGGGGGCCATGCAGAGAAGGGCTCCATCCCTATTGTGCTCAACTATTTTTATCCAGGCTTCTCTGTGCCACTGCGGTTGGAAGGAGCCAGAGGGGAAAGCATCTTGCAGGCAGAGACAGCACTTTGTCCCCCCTCAAAATGCTGGGGAGACCCATGGCACTCCAGGTTGGGAATTGGCCTTCATGCCTGGCAGGAGTTCGTGCTGCCCATCAGCACCTCGGCTGCATCCAGCAGGAAGCCAAGAGGATGTTTGGCAGAGGCCAGCCCAGATCATGGCACCCTCCAGAGAACACACGCTCTCCTGCTTCCCCCCCCAGCCTGGAATGGCCTCAAATTATGGTCAGGCAATGGAAAAGAGGCCCTAAGGTTGGCCATGGCTTGATCATCTTGATGCCATCCTTTGGTATGGACAAGCTCTCCATGAGGAGGCCAGAACCTTCCTCAGGCAGAGGGCATGTAGGCACCATCCACACTCATCCCTCCTTCCTGGAGGTCACCCCACTGTTGTATGGATCAAGTCATGTGCAGGATACATCTAACTACACCCACCTGGCCCTTCTTTAAGCAAGGAGATCCCTTGGGATCTGACTGTAGTAAATCACTTGGGATCTCCCTCAAAGACAAAGGAGTCTTCTGAGGAGGCAGCTGCTCCTCACAGACCCTTGGAGGAACCCCTTGATGAAGCTGTGACTTCTTCAGGAGCAGCAGAAGCCAAAGACAGAGAAATGGTCTCTGGGACATCTCTTCATATGTCACATTCTGGTGACACAGAACAGGCAAGGCCTTGGTGACTGCCCATGTGGTGAAGCCCCCTGGTGATGGACTGCTGAAGCAACTGCTCTTGGTGCCCATTCCCAGAAGTCTCACAGCATTTCTGTCACCTCCAGCAAGCCTGGTTGGCTCTCTGCCCTGGCCTTCTGTGTGGGGCTGGGAGGTGACTTTCTGCCAGTTTTTAAAGGTTCCTTGTGCTTCGCATGCAGGCTGTCTTAATGTCCCACCTTGTGTGATCAAATCCTTGTACCACCATCAATGGGGCAGGCTGTCAGGTCAGCCTCCAAGCACACCAGGTACCAGAAAGTCTGAAGGATGGGGAGTAGCCTCAAAGAGGTTTCAGACTTTCAAGCTTTTAAGAGCTTGTATCAGGGTATCCTTTTGCTACACACCGAAGCTCTTACTATACTCCAGAGAATCCAGCCTTGGCTGACCATCACTTTCCAAGGGTGGTGGCAGCAGCCTTCAGGACATACCAAGGCGCCCTGCTGGATGGAGCTTGGGCACCAAAACCCTGTCAGACCAACTGAACTTGTGTCTCAGCACCAGTGAGGAGATCTCACACCTCCTTCAGGTACCAGTGCTTGGTGATCCTTGCCAACAGGAGTGGAAGTAAAACTCAGCAGCACATGGTGCCACTGGCCACCACCATTGTGGACACACACACTGCTCTGCAAATAGGCACAGCTCTGCACAACAGCAGTTTCAAATTAAAAACCTTGTGCTCTGATGAACTTTAAAAATAGCCCCTCATTTTATACTTCTAAATTATCTAAAAACGTAATCAAATTTTGGCCAGGGTTTTTCTTTAAGATGACTATAGCTCATTAATTAATTAGCTGATGGGCATACTGAATTTACAGCCTGGTGGATTTACAGCCACCGGGCAGCAGCAGGAAGGGCAATGTTTCATGTTGGGACTTTCCAGAGGATTATGGCAATAAAGACCCAGCTTCTAGTGGAACTCACCAGAAGCTGAACATGTCAATGTTTTGAAACCCTCGGGGACCTCTAGCTGGGTACACATGTGGACCCCCCACCCAGTCACACAGCGTCTGGAGGAGCCTCTCATGTCACAGTGCAAAACCCTTCAACCTCAAAGCTTGTAAAAAGGGCTGGATCAGGTCAGAAACATGCCCTGTTTTCAGTCGTGGGGGGGGGGTCCCTCCTTCCTCTCAGAGTTATCCTCATGAAACTCCTGCCTCCACCACCTAGAGCATCCCCATCTCATGCTGGGACTGGTGCTGCCCGACATAGCCTCCACCTGCAGAGGAGAAGGCAGCTGCTCCTGCTCTGCCTCCCCACGGCTGAGGTGAGGAGCTGGTGATGGCTGGGACACTGCCCATTATCCCGCTAACGAAGCAGAACCCACTGCAGCCCTTCCCGCCCCGCCGAGCGCTCTGTCAGCTGCCGAGCAGCAGAGCCACGGAGGGAACGGATGGGGCTTTGGGTGGATTCCTGCTCTCAGCTGTCATGACTTACAAGCATTTAAAAATTCATCCTCCATCAAGGAAGGCAAACCCCGAGTGTTGTCTCCCCTGCCAAGGTTTGCAGCAGTGGAGCTGGACAACCTGCCACTGACTTCCCAGCCCTGACGGGCTCCAGGGATGACTTAACCTCAGCGCCGTGCAGAGATCTTTGTGACAGGGCTCTCGACTTAGGTTTCGGCTCATCTCCTTCCAGCAGCTCACGGGGATGCTCGGGTGACGTGGGGATGGCAGCTTGCTGTGCCACTAGCAGCTTTCCTCCACATCCTGCTGCCCTTCCTTGGCATTAAAGGGTTGAGGGGAGAGGCAGGGAAGCCCTGCCTGCTATGAGACAGCCACCCTGCTCACACTGAGCAGCTCCACGGGACCTTGCCCATGACCAACGCTTCCCAGAGGGCAGCCACACTTCAGGGTGGACAAACTGGAGTCCAGCCAGGGACCTAGCTGGATGGGAAGACATCGAGTGACAACAACAGCTACAGGCAGGAGCATGCTGCCTGGAATACAGGGGAAGCAAAACATTTGGGGACAAAGACACAATCCAGTAGATGCTTCCTAAACCTTCTCACCTCTGGACTCCCTGTCTTGCTCCTCATGCCTACCAGGAGCTTTATGGGGAAACAAGGAGCCGGTCCCTTTGCCCACATGCTGCCCTGTCCCTCTCTGAATATCCAGTTTGGGTTCCTGCCCTCACAGAAAACCATCCTGAGGAGCCATCATTTGCCATCATCCCAGGTTCCCATGTGGGAAGCACAGGGGAACCACTGAGCCCTGCCACTCCCAGCTCACCAATTCCCAGTGCTGCTCATGGTAGTTACCACTGGTTCTACCATCACCAAAGCCAGAAATACCAGCCCAACCCACCTTGTCTTATTCAGCTTTGAGTTTTCACTACCCCTTTCTTCTCCTCTCCCTCATTGCCCCCCATAACCCCCAGCAGCAACCCTCCCCCCCAGATTTTGGCTTAACCCAGCCCGCTGTTATTTTCCAAGCCAACTGCAACCACAATCAGCTCAGCCTCTTTCCTTGGGGGTATTTTAATTTATACAAAAGTATCATCTCTTATCATGATCAGCCTGCGATTCATTTACTCTCCAAGTATTAAAAAGCTAGAAAGGGAATAGATTCAGCGCGTGGAGAAATTAATGCGGAACGATAGGCTCTTTCATGTGGCATTTCCAAGTGCTGTTTTTGCAACGGGCTTATGTAATGAGACATAATTATCTGCACATGTTCAATTACATTACTTCACAAATCCTCCCTGCCTCTGCCTCCTGACATCAAGCTGCCCACTCAGCCCCAGCGTCCACAGGGCAGTGCAGCCCCCCTGTCCCGCCGCACCCCTCTCCCTGCACCTTCTCCCTGTGCTGGTGGTGGCTGCTCACACACCGATGGTCTCAAGGTGACATGCAAGGTGACAAAAGGCACAAGCCTTGGCCAGGAGGGTGACGGGACTGGATGGTGCACCTTGCTATGGTGCTAGCCCATGGGACCACTGTCCCACCTGGAGGACCACCCCCTTCCTGCCCGAGACCACCCCACCTCAACCTTCAGCCTCCTTTGACGGGGACTGCAGTAGACAGCCACATCCAGGGCCAGCTGCCCCTCCTCTGAGCCACCCCGGACACCACCGCCACCACCCACTCCGTGCTCACAGCCTCCTTTTCCAGGCTGCCCTCTTCTCCCAGCTTGCTGTCACCACCACTGAGATGGCGGACGATTGATCTGAGAAATGAAGTTGGATTGCTGTCCCGAATCTACACTGGGTTCTCCTTGTGTGTGTCTGATCGATTTCCCCCTGTGCGACACAGCTTGTCGCTACGAATTTTCATGCTAGTCAGAACCTGCCAGCGCACCCAAGAACAAGGAGAAGATGCTCTGGAGACCGCCCTCCCCCTCACGTCCTCCCCCCGTCCAGCTGGGTGAGGTTTTCTTGGGTTGATGTTGGCTTTATTGTTGCTTTTTTCCCCTCCTTTTATTTCCAGTTGTCATCACCGCCAACCCCACCGCCACCGCCGCGCTTTTGGGACGGGTTATTTTAAGACGGGCTCTCCAGAATGGTGCCGTTGGCCTCCAATGTGGAGCCACCTCCAGACCGGGTGACACTCCCCACTGTGGTTACACGAGGTGTCACCTGTTTAGCAGCTCCCCTCGGCCCAGCGCGTGTGGCCGCAGGTGCCAGGCGAACGCTGATGGGCTGTGACAGTCCGAGACGCCAGCTGCCTGCGCGCAGCGCGCCCCGGCCCCGCTCCTCCTGCCTGGGCAGAGCTCTGCCTTCGGCGTGACCGATACCGAAGCGATAAACTAGGTGACCGTAAAAGCAAAGACAAGTCCCACTAAGTGGCATTCTGAGCCCTATGGCTTTGAAATAATTGGTAGTGAGAGAACAAAAACAAAAAAAACCCAAACACCACAACCCCCCCCAACAGAACCACACAACCAAGAACCCAAGCCTATGTTTTTTTTTCTTACACTGATGCCCTGCGGACTATACATCTGACTTGCTGCGAGTCCGTCACTGTATCCTCCTGTCTGGCTGATAACATGGCGAAGGGTATCCACCTAAACAAACCAACGACAACAAAGACACAAATTAGAGTGAGTGAAAGGTTAGTGGGCCAAGCTGCTTCAGTTCATCTTTGGCAAGGTAAAAACCAAACAAATTACTACCACTGATAATAAAGGTATGTATCAGAGGGGTAAAAGAGAACCGCAGTTGGTCTTGTGGCAAGAGTCAAGCCAGAACACCGCTCCTGCCACCCTTGCCACCCCACTGCCTGCCCTGTCATGCTCTCCTGGGTCCTACGTCCTTCAACAAAAAGAGAAGAGAGGGAGAACAGTGTGGCAAGCATGGGGTGGGACCTCCTGGAGCACATCGCTGCAGCTGGTTCCACCACTGTGCTCATTCCTACCCTGACCCCCTTGCAACCTTCAGCCTGAAGCACTGGGGAGCTCACGGCAGTGGAAGGAGATCCTCAGAGCCAGCCAAGCACCCTCATTTTGGAGGGCCCAGGAGGGAGATATACCTACCACGAGCAAGGCACTGGCAGCTCTCTCCAGGTGCCCCCTTCTTCTCCCTCCACTCCCCGAGCCCAGCCCCAGCAATGGTGTGACCATGTCTCATTGCTTAGGTTTGCTCCACACTGCGAGGGGAGCAACCATGGCTTTAGAGAGCTCTCCCTGCCCAATGCAGAAGTGTCAGAGCGGCTGCCATCTCTCAACACAGCCTTAGGTGCCAGAGAGTGGACTCATGGCACATCTGGACAGTGGATGGTTGGTGAGTGAGTTTCTGGCTAACTTAAATTCTTTCTTTTTCTCCAAAGCATGGTTGGATGTTTCAGTGATGCTGCTCAAAGCTCCCTTGCTCTGTCTTGCTGGTGTGTACATGGGTGATGTAAGTGACTGTGCTTTGGGGTGGGGGGAAAGAATGGTGAGGGGTGTCTTTTGATTTAAAAAAATAAAATAAAACTAGCTGTGTATTGGAGCATTTCTCGCCTTTCAGCAGACACCTGGTTTGACACCAAAGGAGTAGGTGGAAGCCTTGTAAAACGAGACACTAGTCCAAACATCTGGCCCCTTCCCTTGGAAGAATAAAGCAAGCAGAACCTAAACCTCAGTTGCTTTTGTTTGAGTTCATGCCTGTTCTCCTAAACCTCCTCTCCTCCTAGTACGACTGTCAAGCCAGAGCCAAATGCATTCACAAAGTGTGGGCAAGTCTCCTCAAGACCATGGTTGTTGGTTTGGTTGGGGGTTTGGTTTTTGTTTCTTTTGGATATTTTTTGGTTTTGGTGGTTGTCGCTGTTGCTTTTTTTTTGGTTGGTTGGTTTTTACAGTTTGGTCTGCCTTTTTCAAGTGTTGGTTGGTTCGTTTGTGCTGGTTGAGATTTGCTCTTTTCAGACAGGAGGGAGAAGTGCCAATACAATCAAAGGCTCCTCCAACACTAATGCATTCACTGGCAGTACATCGGATGGGTCCCTACCTGTGACTGCACGTTGGCTCCAACCTGGGCCCCTTGGTAAGAATCCCCATTGAGAGACTGCACGCTCATGAACAAATCTCCAGAGTTTGACATGTTAAAAAAAATGG